TACGGTCACTTTGGGGACTAATTATAAATGGATTTCTGAATAAAAGTATGGATTTGAATTATGTTTAAAACTCCCATTCTCATTGCTATTAGTTTGTTGGAAACTGATTCACGGCTAACCATAATATTGTTTTTATATATATATGGGTGAAATCAAATACCGACAAACATTTGATGTGGAAGTTGAATTAGTTCCCCTGCAGTCCTGAAAATCCCCGGTCTTCGGGTTCGTTCGTCACCTAGTCCCAAAATTTCCGCTTCCCTGTAAGAGTAGCGGTCATTCGTTATCTAGTTCAGAGACTTATAATATTGTTATCTCTACAAAATCGCGTAGAATTCCTTTGAAAATTGTGTGATACTTGACGTAAATGGGACATTCCATTTTAAACGTCTTGGCTCTCAGTAATGTTCAGTCTATCCGTGATTGTAGTTTAATCAGCTGAACCTTGATGTATAGCATTCAATGCTTGCCGTGAGCTAAAAAAAGTTAGTACTTGGGAATAGGAATTCATCGACTTAAAAATCACTTGCAACTTTAATGGTTGACTTGACCTATTTTTTTAATCTTCTGCTTGGGATCAGTATCTAAACAACTAGATACTTGATGGAAAATAATATTTTTGTTGTACTAAAGACCTTCAGTGATATTTATTTGTTCAACCGAGCCATATTTGTATTTTAATGCAAATAATCACGTAGAAAAACGAAAATTCTCACGGGTCGCGGTGTACGCTGTCATCTCAAATGGTGCTTACAAACAGCGTTCCCAAACAAAAAAACACGAAATCGGTAGATGATGTTGGTAGATTCAAGGATAAAATCGGTAGGAAGAAAAAATCAGAGACGAAAAAAACAACTCAACAACTCATTGTACATGTTTTTTTACAAGAACAAAATATATGTCCATACATCTTTAGCTATTATTCATATTGTATAACAGGCACAATTAAAAAATAATTATTATGTCACGTCCATTATTTTTAATTTTACCACCATTATAAATCCGTTAGGACCCTCATATGTCTTAACTCGTGGTTCGCGAATGAAAAGCTAATGTAGAATTTTTTATTTTTTGTATAACATGTATACAGTTTTATCGTTCCATTATTTGTATGTCATGAACAAATTATTTTGTTAAATATGTATTATTTTCTCCGGAACGTATGACAAATAAAGTCTTTCCGTCGTGTATTTATAATTTACTCGTATTTACATTACAAAAATTGTCAAGAAATATCAAGACTACTCGAGCTTTCAAGTATTTGACAGACAGACATAAAAACTACTTGACTTGATATTAGATTGCTAATATCTAACACTTATCGTATCCCTTCAACGTAAAGCGGTAAAGCAGTGCAGTTCTTTTAAGCTTAATAGCTTTAGTTATTTGATAGCTTTGTCAGTTTGATAGCAGTTTCCATTTGGCTGGCACTCTGTGTTTAATTGATTTAATGTTGCGAATTGTCAAAGTTATTCCATGGCTGGTGCTATTCAGCATTAAAGCGCTGCACGTTGGCTTGACGCGCTCAATCTTGCCAGAGCTTTTTAAAACTTTACAGCAGTGAAGTTACCATGAAGACTTGCTAAAATTTAAATAAAAAAGCAATCTTACTAGTCTCACAAATCCGACATGAGTCCTGTCCACCTTATCACAGCAATTTACTAAAACTCCACCATATAAATGAAGTAACAAACTGAGTAAGTACCCACATGTTCTGGTTCTGGCTTTCATTTCCTCAAAAGAGTTGACATAAATCTTGATCTACTTATCGCTAGGGAATGGTCTTTAATCAAGATACTAATTAAAAAAAAAGTACTGTGAGAATTTTCGTCATTTCCTTGGAAGCCTCTTCTTCTTATTGCTCATGATATGTTAAACTTACTTCAATCAAGGTACCCCTTAATACGAGATACTTTAAGAATCTGTCATGTGCGCCATGCTCCTCCTCGAAAGCGTTGACAGCACAAAAGTTGACAGACTGACGTAAACATTCTCACCCTAATGTGTCGTGTGCTTCACGGACGAATCCATTTCTTTGGAAAAGGATCAAGTGGGGCGGGAGTATATCTGGAAGGCAAAAGTATGCACACAACGATCTTCCAGGCAGATATATTTGCCATCTTAATGGTGGCATACTCAGAGGAGATTCATAGATGCACCCAGCGGAGCATATCCATATGCTCAGGAAGTCAATCTGCACTAAAGGCTGTGGAATCTCCGAGGACAAGGTCACTCTATAGTTCAGGGATGTACTACTGCTAGATCCGATTGCCTGGATAAGTTGGGGGCCAGGAGCACCCAGATGAACCCCGAGCCTGGCCTAGTAAGAGCCATGTCAACACCGCCCCATGTGCAGGAAGTAGGTCGAGACAGCGTCTCATTTCCTAAGGGCCGAGATATTCTGAACCATGGATTTCGATAGTGAAGTTGCTTACGCAACATGTGAATTAGAGTTTTGGTACACATGAGGTCGCTAAATGTGGCCAAAGAGGGCCTACTTGCCAGGCTTCACTTCCCCTCTACTACTACTACTACTCTTTCAACTACTACCGATAGGACTGGCTTGTTCTTCATCGCACAGCAAATTGCTGACACTTCTCAGGGACGAAGTAACGAACTTACTACTAAGATATGACGGACAATAAACAAGATCCTAATTAGTGAATCCTCTACTCGTTATTGCTCTATCAAATTGTTAAAACTCCACCGCAGAAGAAGCAAAGCTACCGTCATGACAAAGTTCGCTTCCTCTCGACCCGTCGCGTCGCGTCGATTTTTATTAGTTTCAGCAAAGAACAAACAGCTTGCGATTGGTAATTTCGACTGCTACCGCTTCCGATCCGATCGTAAGTCAATTTTATTAACGTTGCCGATATTGGTTTATCCGGCTCGGTGCTGTGGCTGTGGCACACCAAACCAGTCATCCGACTATTGACGAAAATAAGATGAAAACGGGATAATGCCGCCGGAAACAGGCTCGATATTGGATACACTCAGACGTCAGTTGGTTGTGGCTGCAGATGCTCAGATTTGCTTGTGTTTAGCAAACTTTATGTACACCGTTTTCAGTTGTGGTACAGGAACTCGCTGAATACTAGTAGCTAAAAGAAAAAGAATGTTTTTAAACGAAAGTAGCAGTGCCTAACAGTGGCGAAGCGTCCATGTAACCATTGTTACCATTGGTAACAGTTAAAAATCTTAAAAATAAATATTTTATGACTAAGTACTGTGAAATAATTTCATTTATTTGTTTAACAACAGCGATATGTAATAGTAATTCAGTAAATAACAAATTAGTCCCACGAAAATAATGCGCCCTATAGTGTCTAGAACGTGTCGCGAACACGATGAAGCTGACTCGCCTCGACTTGGTTGTCGGTTGTTACCATTTTCATCTATGGATACATTTGGTAGTCCGTCGGGGACTGTTGGTACCGGCTCACGTCTCACTCGTTAGTAGTGGTTTTGGTTACCGGCTGTAGTGAGCGTGCCATTAAACATGGATGAGTGTCGCTGCGTAATCGATCAACTACTTGAAAAGTCATTCTTCTCGTATAATTTTTAATAAAAAATGGAGATAATTGAAAATGGAAGACCAATACTTATTTTAGATAATTTTAAAAAGGAAAGAAAAAACGTAATTTGATATTTTAAATTAAGTTGGTATATGGAAACTCTTGTTTATGTGGCTGCAAGAAAAACAGATTGTATTGTTGGCGATGTCTTCTGTTTTATACAGAAAAAAAATGGGTGGACCAGCAGCGGAGTCAACGATTTAAATAGTTTTAGGGCTCCAAAGAGGAGACATGAAATTTCTCCGTTACATGTGAGATGTGTAGCCAGTTTAATTCAGTTTGGCAAAATAACAAGAATCGAAAGTTCTCTTAACCAAGATTTTAGGCAGCACACTTCTAGATACCGAATGTTTTTTGGAAAAACAGGAATTACCGTTCATTTTGAAGGGGATGGCTCTGACAGAGGAAATTACAGGGAATTGTTAACATTCATTGCCAAAAAAATTCCGAACATCTAGAAACGTCGAGTGTTTTTTCGGACGGCTTGGATTAGTCATAGCATAAGACGATGAGGTATATCAAGTGCCCCAGACGCTCAGTCCAGGAATGTTTACCTTAATTTAAAAATAGTTTAAATAAAATACCTAAAATAAGCAAAAACTTATATTTGGGAGGTTCAAAATAACCTTTTTTAATAAGATTTTTCACATCTGCTTTTGGTAACAATTTAGGAAAAGTCACGCGTTGCCACTGGTGCCTAACTATAGTTGTGATACAGGGTGCATCAGAACCAGTTAAACAGATTTATAAAAAGTCAACTGGATCTTATATGAAAAAAAATTTAAAAATTTTGAAGTGAGTAATTTATACCATTTTGCATTCATTAATTTTTGAAATAGTGCCTTCAAAACGGCGGCCCTTAGTGATGACACACTGAAGCTCGTTTACACATATTGTGGGGAGGAAGAATGTTAACAATATAGAAATACGGGAAGAATAGATAAAACTACATCATTGGCTATAACCAAACTTACGAAACGGGAAACAGAATATGCCATCCTTACAGAAGTTCAATCACACTTACTTTATGATATCGCCCTGATCATGCTGGATGTCACCTCTTCAACCGTCTTCCAGTATATATTCGCCGCATGAAAGCGACAGAAAATTTAGGCGTCAATTGAGAGCACTGCTAATTGAGTGCACTCGTTCTACTATCTTTGAATTTGTTGATTTTATTAACCCCAGAAAGGTTACAGGGGTACTAGAGTACCCCACGTCATCATTTATTTGGCGGTATTTCTCTAATACTAAGGTTGGCAACACTGAGCGTTTAGATATTCTTCGTTGAGGTTATGATGAACATCTTGTCACATGTGCTTATTAATATGCAAGTTCTGTTACTGAGAAAAAGGTAAGTTGGGGTATTCAAATACCCCAGTAACCATTTGTGATTATAAAGTTTCAATTGTCTAATTTTTTGTAGCGGAAATATCTCAAGAGAAACGAGTAAAATATACAGATCCAAATTTTGAGGAAACAGTACTACGTTGGTTTGAGGAAATCGATAGCGAATATGAAGAAAATGTTAGTGAATGTGAGGATAATCTCGAAATTCTATCTGAAACCGGTAGTATAATCTCCTTGGACGAAATTTCAGGAAGTGACGATGAGCATAATTGGCAAGCTACGAATATTATTATAAGAATGGTTTCAGGTGGAGCATGGACGAACCACCCAAAACTAAAACTGCTTCTCGAAATGTAGTAGTAAAAGTGCCTGGAATAAAAGGCAACGTAAAACACATTGCAAATGAATTACAAGCATGGCAAACTCTTTTTCAAACCCCTATGATTGATAGCATTGTAATTTACACAAATTTAGAAATTTCTAGACAAATAGTTAAAATTACAAGGATGCTAGGTTTGTTGATCCTACTGACTCAGTGGAAATATTAGCTTTGATAGGACTTCTATACATATCAGGAGCTCGAAAAGATGCACATCTATCTATTTGCGAAATGTTTTCCAAACAAAGCTCTAAGATTTATAGATGCATTATGCTAGTTTCAAACTTTTAAGGTTTGATGACAAAAATTGCGTTTTTTTATGGCATGCTTGATCAAGCTGGCATAAATTCTATGGTATTGTTTAAGCTTGCTAGAAAGCAAGAAAAAACTATTCGTAGGAAATTCCTGAATGAACTTGGTCTTCAGTTAGCTCAACCACATCTGAAGAGAAGGCTCAATAAAAACTTACCTGGAGAACTTCGAAAAGATATTGAAGACATATTGTGTGTAAATTCAGAACAGCAGAAGTCTTCTACATCAGAACCACCTAAGAAAATTGCTAAAACTAGTAGGTGTTACTTGTGTCCCAGATCATTAGATAGAAAATCCAAAACAAGATGCTCCAAGTGTTCTCAGGCCGTATGTCCTGATCATCAAATTAAAGTGTGCGAAAACTGTGTAAAATATTAATGATATATTAAATTTTAATTGTATAGTATGCAAATAAAGATAACTTGAGAGTAAAATATTTTATTGATGTTTTTCTGATGGGGTATCCGAGAACCCCATGTAACCACCAACGTATGAAACGTTCATGTAACCATTCCAGGGTTAAGTCGCTCTGATGGGCATATAAAATCTCTGATTTGTGTTACTATTGTTTATTATTTATTGTTTGTCAATTTTATATCGTAAATATTTTTTTTATACATTCTTTTGTAATTTCTATGCACCTGATTTGGCCTATCTGTTATTTGCAGCCTACATGTTAGACAAAAATGTCTAATGTCTAATGAATATCTTCCGCTTCTTCCACAATCCGCTCTCTAGGTTCTTATAAGTTAGAAGTGTGCCCAAGTGTACTACTCCTTTTTGGATATCTCCGAAGTAAAGATCCAAAGATGCTCAAATCTGTTCCTCACAATAAATGAAACGAACTGTTGAAGCTTTACGAAGCATCTCCTACAGTGCGTTGCTACTGGTGGCCGCCATTTTGAGGATATTGTTTTCAAAGCTTGGTATAAACTAACTACTCACGCCGAAATATTTTTTTTTTATAATCCATATGCCAGTAGAAGCAAGAAAGCACAAATTCGCTTAGCTCAGCTGCGGCTGCAATTTTCAAAATTTTGATAGATGGATAAATAATCGCCTTAAGTGAAATTAAGTATTATACAAAACATAAAGATACAAGCTGATGCGAAAACCGGGCGGAGCCAGATAGCCTGGGCTACTCTAACTTAAACTGTTAATCAGATGATGTACTATCATCAAATGCAATCTGGTAATAGCTGGAAAACTAGACTAAATGGATCTATCTATATTTAGTAGTTAAAGCTTTCATTTCACTGGGCAGAGTTGTAAAGCTTGACCGCATCACAAACCTTTTTTTCAAAGATGTGGTTTTATCACTGGGAATAATTAATTTATCTTTGTTTCTAATATTTAAAGAGTGGATGTTATAATTTTTTTTTATATTCATAATATCACTGAAGAAAGTACCTAGATATAAACGTCTTCTATTTGAGATATTTAACCATTGATTTTATGGGATACACCGTCATGCTTCCTCAAGCCATATATGAAGCGACAACACATATTTTAAACTTTCTGAATACTATATAAATCTGATTGAAGTGAATGAAATGTGCGTAATTGAAATGTGACAAAACTAAAGTTACACATAACGTTTGTTTCAAATTATGGTTAATGATATGCCATATGGTTGTTTCAATGAAATGTTGTTTCTATTGTTACTTCCCAGGAGGAAAGTAAAGAAGGAGCGTAAAAAGGTCTAAAGGGTGACATAATAAGCAGCACTGTAAAACGTTGAATACCATTTTTATAAATTTATTCATTATGATGGAACACTTCCCAAAAATACGAGTAGGTACATCAAAAACCGACTCTTGAGCATATTCACATTTCTTTGTCATTCCAAAAAATTAATTTACCATCATAAAAGAACACGAAATGAAAAACCGCCGAAATCGACGAGTGGCGGCGCAAAGAGTGAAGCAAAAAAACATCGCATCCATAGAAACTCTCGAACTGGCAGAAAAAAGCTGCTCGCTGTTAACGCAGCATATACAATAACACATAGGAAGGCAACTTCCGACGATATTGTTTACTTCACAAGCCCACTGACGAAGAAGTATTGTAATGGCGAAAAATTTATTAGAGATAGTGTTATTTGGTTGTACATCACGAAAAACCATGTCACTCATTCCCGTCTGTCTGTCTGACGGTCTGTTCGCTAATCTTTGGATCGCCTATAACTTGGAAAGTACCGCGTGGATTTGGATGAAATTCCGACACAAGGTTACTACTATGTCAAGCATGAAAAAGCATTGAAGTTTAGAAAAATATGTCCACTGGCGGCGAAAGTAGAGGCAAAAACACGAGAACGATAAAAATATTACGATTGCATTCTGTGAAGTAAAATAGATGTTTCTCTCCCTTTATAAAATAATGATAACAAAAAAACACCTAGGCAAAATGTTTTCAAATTATGTTCTTTAATATTATCATGTAATTTCTGTACACTAAATTTTATACTGTAAAATACTTGAATACGAGTGAGAAACGGCTGGTATTAAAAATAACTCGTTACGTAGCTAACTTTCCTAAATACCTAACTACAATTGGGATAATATTTTAAGGCTTCTTTTAATGCTAGCAAAGCGTAAACCCGCTCAGCCAAAGTTCGCAGATTACTCCCCTCAAAAATGGCAATGGCGTTCTCCAAATTGACCAAATCTGATTCGTGTTGCATTTAATTTGAACTTGTCAGCCTGAAAGCATGCAATTTTATATTTCAGTGTATTTATGAAATAAGTAGGATGCTTTATGGCAATAATTATACGTTTAGGTTATAGTAGAGATGTATGTAGGGATGTAGAGTGTTAGTAATCAAACAAAGTTCTACAAGTATCTTGCTTGGGAAGGGCATTATTGATCTGACACTTCGCATATAAAAGTGCTCGACTACTAGTGGCTCACTTCGTTGCCTAGTTATGAAATGTAATTGAGCATACTTGTAAATCACGAATCACGACTGTTACCAAATACCGTGAAAAAGAATGTCATGATCACGACTTCGGGAACTAATAGGTTCTTCCCGGCAAGTGCGAATGGCGTCATGGGATCACGGCGCTAGTGTTTGAATTTGCTTGAGATGCTCGATACCCATAATCTCGTCGTTATTCGAAAGTTATGATCACGTCACGGTTTCAAATCACTGATCTCAAAAAGTAACGATATCAGATTTCGGCTATTTTTTGTGACCCTATTGAGCTAGAGAAACGTACGTTATGAGAGGTTAAGTTGCCCAAGTGCTCCCGTAGCTCCATAAACCTCTAAATTCCTCGGAATTGTACACATGTTCATAAGTCCAAAAAGTTTCGGTACTTTCGAAGCTAGAAGAGAAGCAGGAGGTTCGGTTTCTGCTGAAAATCCAGTTTTGGTCGGTCAGTACATGTAGAAAGCAGCAGTGTTGTAAAAAAATCACGATTTTTTTGAAAAAAAAACAGAAAATCTGATTGTTTCGATTAAATCGTGATTTTTTTACTTTCATCAATTTGTACTGATTGTTTCCTTAAATATGGCAATAATGAACTTTGAAATAACTAATTTCCGTTTTCTTGCTCTATTCACCCAAAAATATTTGTTCGGCGACAACTTGTGTTAACATGTCGTGCGCGAGTCGCGCCTTTCCTGTCGGACCAAGAAAATTGGTTTGTCTTTATAATGAGCTATTGAGACGAGGCGAATTATACTAAGTGACATATAAATCCGAACACCCAGTTTAAATGGTTTTATTTTAATAAAAGTTGGTGAATGTATTTATCTTACTGTAAATAACAAGTGAACAAATTTTCAGCCTTATCAGTTGGACATTCCGGTTTTTATACTGCTTTTTTTTAATTCACTAACGCTCTAAAAATGAATATTTCAGCCGCAGTAAAGAATCAACGTTGGTGGATTTTGGTTCTTGACATCCTTTACGATCGGTTACGATGCCTAGAGTATGGAGACCTGTACGATTTCGTCAACTTAGTGAGTTTGATAGGGGCCGTATAGTGGGACTTCGGGAAGCTGGACTTTCTTTTCGGGCAATTGCAGTTAGAGTGCAAAGAAGTGTAGACACTGTGGTTAGGTGTTGTCAGGCATGGCTTCGAGAAGGCCGTACGCAAAGAGCAAGGGGCACTGGACGCCGCCGTAGAACAACAGACCGTGAAGATCGCTGCCTAAGATTATTAGCCTTAAGGGACCGTTTCTCCACTACCAGGTCCATTGCAAATGAATGGTTTGCAGAACACGGAAGACCTATTGGCATGCGAAGTGTTTACCGACGAATGAGAAGTTTTGGCTTGTTTTCATACCGGCCACGTTGGGTCCTCCCTTTAACTCAAGAACACCGACGTAATCGCCTTGAGTGGTGCAGACAACGGTCACTCTGGGATCAGGAATGGAACAGTATTGTCTTTAGTGACGAGTCTCGATTTTGTTTAGGCATGCACGATGGTCGTGCCAGGGTTAGAAAGCGACGTGGTGAAAGGAGGAGTCCACAGTTTTTTGTTGAAAGACATGTTCATCACACTGTTGGAGTTATGGTTTGGGGTGCTATAGCTTATGGTTCCAGGTCACCTTTAATCTTCATCAGAGGTAACATGAACGCGCAGCGTTATATCCACGAAGGTCTAGAACCCCATCTTTTACCCTATCATGACACCCTGGCAGATCCAACTTTCCAACAAGATAATGCCCGACCACATGTTGCAAGAGTCACAATAGACTTCTTTCAACATAATGATGTCACATTGTTACCATGGCCACCAAGATCTCCCGACTTATCCCCAATTGAGCACGTGTGGGATATGATGGGTAGGAGATTGCTCAATTTGCAACGTCCTCCTCAGACTCTAGAAGCACTTTGAGAGGAGTTGGTGGTTGCCTGGAATGAGATACCACAGGAGGACATTGACCACCTGATCAGAAGCATGCCTAGGCGCGTTGGAGAATGCGTAGCACATCAGGGTGCATCCACACATTATTAAAGGTCAAAGGGCTTTAAAGCAGTGCAATCATTGTGAAATTTTTATCATTTACTTATTATGCTTCATTAAGTACTTATACAAAATTTTATCAAAATAAAGCCATTTAAACTGGGTGTTCGGATTTATATGTCACTTAGTATATTTCTTAAGTTATAGTGGGTACATACGTTCCAAAGAAAATGGCGTATTCCTATTTCCTATCCCTTCTTCTTTAAATCATAATGTGTTTTTCTAGATTTAGACACCGATACGAACAATGTATTACAGCATATATTCTTGATCCGACAAAACCACAACATCTATTAGCAGACGACGAAAAGAATTATGCTTTGAAAGCTCGCAAAAGCACTACTTTCCAGTGAGTTCTTGCCACTAATAATTCAATTTCTGGCAAAATCAAATCCTATCGAC